CACTACAATTACTTTGTCAATGAGGTGATATCAAGAAAATAGTTGGTCCACTGTATCTCTATATCATAAGGCCTTGTTTGGCGATTAGCGGATAGCGGATTATATTAGCTGATTTGACCAGCGGATTGCATTAGCGGTTTTTAAATAAGTGTTTGGTAAATAGCTGAAAGCTTATAGCTGTTTGACAATGCAAAATGACCAATAAGGACATTTTATTATATAGGGTGTATTCTTTTAATAATAATATATTAAAACGTTTAATATTCTTTTAGTCGGTAATTTATAAATATATTATTATTTTTTTAAATTTACTAACACTTGATGAAGAAGTTATTTTTCTAAATAAGTGTTTGGTAAATAGCTGAAAGTTTATAGCTGTTTGACATTGCAAAATGACCAATAAGAACATTTTATTATTTAGGGTGTATTATTTTAATAATAATATATTAAAATATTTAATATTCTTTTAGTTGGTAATTTATAAATATATTATTTTTCTAAAAAATTTACTAATACTTGATGAATAAGTTATGAATTTTACATTTTTGATAGATAAATTAATTATGTAAATGATATATTATTATTTATTAGTACCATAAACCAATGTAAATTGTAAAATAAATAAGACAAATTAAAAAGTTCCAAGTATATGATTTCACTTGTGAATCCTCTATCCTCAAAAAGCTGCTCTAATGAGTTTTTCCTAAATTAGAGTTTTGGGCCCAAAAAGCTTATCAAATAAGCTATTTACCAAACAAGCTCAATAGCGGATTTGACGGGTCAAACCTCTCAATTAAGTCCAATCCGCTAATTTATCTTCAATCCGCTATCTACCAAAGGGGCTTATATTTCTTCTTCCAAGTATGCTTCTTCCAAATCAAACACCTAATTGAAAAACCATAAATAACAATAAATCAAGACTAGAAGAACATAATACTTACTATAAATTAATATAATCTCGATATCTAAAGAGTTTTATTATTATTATTCAAAATTACCCTTTCAAATCCGTCAACAACGTCGAGTTTTATGATTTCCAGGATATATCACATACCATAATACCTACATTCTTCACCTTCTTTTTTTCGGCGACACTTAAATAATAAAAAAATTATATAATAATCAAAACATACAACAAATGACCACATTTACTTAGCAAGAATACTGACTGCCACACAAGACTATTAAAATTATGGAACATGCTCTCGTATACGCATAGAAATTCGACAGGAAAGAGTTATATTGACTAGTACTATCATAATTACCAAATGAAAAAACACAAACACATAGGAGTTATATTGACTTTGTTTGAGAAATATATGCACCTTTAGATAAACCCATGTCGGCTTCTTCATTTTCTGAGTATGGTGCCCCTTCATGACTTTGCATGCTCTAAGTGCCCTGACCCGATTATTATATTTAAAATTAAGTGAAAAGAAAATATCAAATGTTAATCATGTGAAAATAAAATGTTGAATACTAATTTCAAACATACGTGTTGATTTTGTCCATCAAATCAGTCTTAGGCTTTTTCGATAAGGAACATATCCAACCCACCATACTTTTTTTTGGGTTAACAACAATTAGTTGGCCACCGTACTTTTCTTGGGTTAATAACAATTAGTTGCCAATGATCCCTGACATACCACAAAATAAGATACACAATTTTAATATTAAGAAAACTAAGATACACAATTTTAATATTAATTTCTTATGCGCCAATCATAGTATGTTTATATTATGAAAAAACTATTTCTTATTTGCTAATATACGGTGCAAGAAATTTTTTCAAATTGCTCGTTTCTCTCTCTCTCCAATTTTTCCCAAATCCTCGCTCAGAAAACCTAGCCGTCGTCAAATTTCTGTTGCATCCATGCAGCTGGAACTCCGATCACCTCCATAGATGACCGGCCCGTGCGTAGCCTCCGCTTTCCTTTCCTCTGAAGGATTCGTCTTCCCCGGCGTAGCGCTTCCCCTCTTCCTAGGCGGCTACGGTGGTGTCCTCGGGCGGCTCTCCGATGGTAAGGGTGGGGCGGCGGGTCCCGTCCATTAGAACTCCGATGGGCTGGATTGAGGCCGATGCCGACTCCTCTCCCCGATTTTCCTGTCTCCTAGGGTTTGAGATGGGGTTTTCTTCTGGTTGGAGTCTTTCAACCTGTGTAGAGGGTTCTAGTCGGGGTCGTGGGGGGGGGGGTAAGGGTTGGTATGGTCTTTCCGGGTGCGGCTCTGTGGTGTGCCATTGGCTCATTCCGGGTAGATCCATGTTAGCCGTCATCTTTTGGTGAAGGGAGTGGATAGGTTGCGTCCCAAGTATGGCGTTTCATGGAGGTGTCCTGGTTAGCTCTCGTCTTGTGTGGTGTTGTGTCGGAGTTGTTGCCGGTTGATGGGAGAGCTTTGCTCGTTTTTTGGTTCTTTTTTGGTGTGTTTTTTTCTGTTTCAGTTGTTGTGGGTGTTTTTGTGTTTGTTTTGTGGTTGTTTATTTTCCTGTTGGGAATGTGTTATTCTCCTGTTGGGAGCTCTTTATTTTCTTTTTTAGTTTTTTAGCCTTGTAGTGTGTATTGTGGTATTTATGGTGCCTTGTGTAGTCCTCTTATATCGGTTAGTTAGCCAGTTGTAATTACGAGTTTTAGTCAATGAATTTTCCGTTTCGAAAAAAAAAATATGCGGTGCAAGAAAACATTCCAAATCTTCTTCTATAAGTCTCGTTTGAATGTACGCCGCTGAGTGTTCCTTACTCTTGCCAATGTTTTGGATTAAGAGTGGAAACATCAATCCAAACTTACCTTCTCTCCCAGAGTCCTTCAATATTTTGTACAAGTACCTGTGAAATAAAAAACAAAAATAATATTTAATTGCATATAATTCACACAACAATCAATATAAAATGATAAAATTAGTTAAAATCTCACATATTAAAAACCTGCACTATAGATACACAAAGTTTGTAATCTTGTAAGAGCTCCATGATATCCTTTCGATATACATATAAATCCATTTTCGTCCCGACAATTGCTACCTCCAATGGTATATGAATCGGTTGTGTAATGTCAGCCGCTGCTATCCACATGGCTTTAATCACATCAGTGTCAAGTTGAGTTATGGGTTTTGGATCCATTTGTGTACGCTACACAAAAGAAACAAAGATAAGAGTATTAATATTGTAAACAACATGAAGAATATTTTTAGCAAATATATCTATGAAATGTATTTACCTTCATAATTTGCACCACTAGCTTTTTAGGCCAAGCAATGAATTGATTTGGTGCTTCTTCCACAATAGTGACCTCATCTGTCGGATAAGGCACTCGTGCATCTCTAACTATAACCCGTGATACAACAATCCTTACTTGATCGTCATTCAGTTTCCGATGGTGCATGGTTGGCACTTGATCGTCATTCAATTTCCGATGGTGCATGGTTAGCTCCAAAGTGTGGAGACGACCGTATGCCACTAAATGCCTCTGTGGATCCTCCACGTACAACTCATATTCCTCATCATCTTTGTGCACATTCAGAGCATTTTTGTGCACATATGTAGTTGGAGCAAAAATCCCTTTCGTGCTCGTGACTAATGGTGAGATATGTGAACTGGTTGTCAGATGACCGACCATCATCATCATCATCATCATCTCTGCTCTCATCTTCTCTTGTACTTGCTCTGTAACTTGAGATACGATGTCACTCATCTGCTCTTCTGATACCACTCCTGTACTTGTACATGGACAGTTTGCACGTCCGAAATAGTCACAGATGCCCACACCCTTTCTGACTCCCCTTACACAACCATGATGCTCATCCTTACCTATTGCTACTGCTAGAATGTCATTTCTTCCACAAGGTTTGAAGCTTCCCTAAGAGGATTGTTCTTCCAATGCATCCTGTGATGAGCACAAACCATATTTAAAATTCATTCTAGGGGAAAGATGAATAGATTAAGTTAAATATCACTAGTTACTTACAATTTTGTCACCAACAATTTTAGCCTCCTCGTAGGTATAATTTCTATTTGGCGTCACCCGCGCCCTTTTCCATAACTCGTGGCGAGAGGGTGGAGATGGAGGGTTCACAACGACAGAGGGATCTAATGAGGCTTTATTCATGGACTTGCGTTTCTCCGCCATTATCTTCTTTTTTTTTTTCCTGTAACCCCTTGAGACAATATATGAGGACACTTGTTTTTTTATTGTGTTTCTAGTCCTTTTTTCTTTTTTCCTGCATAAACGTATAATTGGAATAATATTAAATTTAATTATCGTATAAAAAACTAACAGACCACATTAGCTAAATTACTAATTAAGAAATTAACTTACCAAAAATTCAGGCGTCACACATGATGCAACATAAGCGTTTCCAAGTATCTTTATCAAGAAAGTCCAAAAACCCTGACATATAGGAGCTCATCATCCTGTTTACATCCAAATATTTATCGATTGAGACTGGTTTTGAAACATCTCCAACGTTCCCCAGCATATCTTACCCATTTATCTTTCAATTTTTTTATCATCGGTAACTCAAATTTCTCCTACAAACACATAATAAATATGATTTTATACGGGGCCGGTCCGGTTCGGTTCGACCGGCCTCGTATTTCGTCCGCTTTCTACAGTGTCCGGCGGCCGATCTCGGTCGACTTAAAGGCCGACCGGCCGGCCGGTCCGGACGCAATTTGCGCCGTCCGGAACTGACGGCCGGACGGCGCCGCCGCGTCCGGAGGTGACGGCCGGACGCGGTTCATAAAAAAAAATAAAATTATTCATGCGTAAAAAAAAAATTACCTTGCTAGAGAAGAACGCTTTGTCGATGCCGTAGGATTTTTTCGACGTTTTTTCGGATTTCTTTCGATGCTCGAATCGCTCGTTGAATGTTCGGGAATTTAGAAAGATAGAAAGTTTAGATAGATAGAGTCTGAAAAGGGTTAAGGGCAAAAGTATAAATGGAGGCAGCGGTGACTAGTAAAAGGGAGCCGTGAATAGCAATTGAGTTTCTTATATCTGAATCTGCTCAAAGCAAATAGAAAATAAAATGAAAAAGGTATTGATCGGCTGAAAACATCCTAATAGTCATAGTCGTCGGTAGACCGCTGGTCCGATTTTGAAAATTAATTCCACCTTTTCCCCCTTCCGAGTTCCGATACCCTAAACAGAAGATTTTTATATGTGTCGTCCCATATCTTTGGTTTGATCGCCATACGTGCTGCCAAGGTAAAATTCATTTTTTATACTAAGATTTATATGCCGTTGAAATATAACTCTCGTTTTGTATGTATGTATGTATGTATGTATATATATATATATATATATATATGTATTTATGTACTTAGCGGTGGCCAAAAGGAGTTGATTTTGATCTGGTTGTGGAAAATTTTGTTAGTAATATGTCTGGACATTGGTTTGTGCGCTATTATCTAGCTGAGTTTTCCAGCTCATGTGACCACAGTTTGGAGATTATTTCCTGAATCAGGTGTTTCGATGAAATGAAGATGAGCGTTTGTATTAATTTTGAATTTTTTGATCCAGTGAGTCCAGCTGATCTGATATGGAGAATTATGATTTTTCTTGATCAGTCACGGCTGAAATTGAGTTATATCATGCACAGGTCTTTTTGTAGCTCTGTTTAAGAGGTTGAGGATATACCATGTACAGCACGTACAAATGTTAATTTGCAATTTTATTGACATATGACAATTAAGATATTATGGATGCGTCATCGGGTATATATACCCGGCTCGACACCTGGAAGCATTTCTCGTTTATAATTTTCTCACTTCGAATGGATTTTATTTAGATGTTATAATCTCTTTCTTATGCATCCGAGCTTCAGTTATGAGTACTCAATTTTCTTCTTGACACAGACATGACATTATGCCATTGTAGAGTACAGCTTTTATTTCGTGTATCGTTTTTACCACACATGGACCAATAACACGAGGATAAATCTGTGGCTTAACTTGTTTAATCTCTTTCATCCTATCTGACTTATTAATATATATGTTCTTTACTCTGATATGGATAGGAGTTATGTCTCTTGCACAACCTTATAGACCAAAAAGTCATCACTTTTACAGTGGTGGAAAGTCCAACAGGAACATGAGCGTCAGAGCAACAGCTGCTGCGAACTACAGCGGGAGATATGATAACCACCTATATGATTCAAATTTTTACGCAAAGAATCCTGACCCCTACACTGAATTCTCCACAAGCTCAATGCAGTGTGGACCTAGTTATGAAGGCGTCTGGCCTGAAGCTGTACCTCCTTCAAAAAGAAGAAAGTTTTCAGACTTCTCTTGTGAAAGCACTCGGAGACCCTATCAGCAACTACTCTATTGTGGACGTGGCCTTCAAAATCATGCTGTTCTTCGGCAACGGGTACCTCATCAGTTCTCCAGATATTTCTGCCACAGCTCTGTAGTCCATGACAGCAGTTCGGCTTTTATTGGTGCAAGTGATTCCAGTACTTATGCTTCAGCTCCCTCCAAACGCAATCGATTGGAATTTGAGGATGATGAAGTGGTTTTTATGTCAAGGGACGAGATAGAGAGGTGCTCTCCTTCAAGAAAAGATGGCATTGATGTGCTGCATGAGACGCGTCTCAGATACTCGTATTGTGCATTCCTTCAGAATCTCGGGATCTGGCTTGATCTGTAAGCTATCTATAATTTTGCAAGATACTCGCGAGAAGTCGGTTGAGGAGTTAATATTATAGTGACATTTATTTTTTGGGCATTTGCAGACCTCAGACAACTATTGGGACTGCAATGGTTCTGTGCCATCGCTTTTTTGTTCGTCGATCGCACGCGTCTCAAGACAGATTTGTATGTTGCTCTTTTATATACCTAAAAACTCATCTTTTCAAAATGAGATAAGTGACAATATTATCCTGAGTGGAGACCTTTTTAAATCTGCAGGGCTTTTTCTTCCCTGTGATTTCGGTTAGTCTGTCGCTGTGTTGATATAAAAACTGATTAATTAAACTATTTATTTGCTGCAGTTAATAGCTACTGCCACACTTTTTCTTGCCTCGAAGTCAGAGGAGACACCACGCGCACTTAATGATGTACTAAAGGTGTCTTCTGAAATTCTTCATGGTCAGGAGTTTGCTACTCTCTCATTCATGCTGCCTCTTGTAAGTGACTTCTTGCTTTGAGGAATTTACACTTACTAAATTTTTTAGCATTGATCAGAATTCTAGAAGCCAAGAACTAGCATGTTTCAATTGTATACATTCTATGATAATTAAATTTAAAAGGATATGGTATTTTTCTTCTTTACATGGCCGCAGTAATATTTTTTCCAAGTACATTTTTCCAACAAACTTATCACTTTCTTTTTCCTGTATGGATATTTGTAGACATCTTCAACCACTGTCTAATCAGTGGTCTTCTGTTTCTTATTATCTACACAACATCCAGAATATTCAGAAGGTACTTGAAAGTAAAGCTTTTCTCGTGCATAGATGCAATTTCAAAAATGTGTTTGCACGTTGTTGGAATAAAATATACATGCTGTTCGTAGTTCTTGAAAAATGCTTAAAAGATTTAGCAGCATGTGAGAAACAGTGAGGTGTTGCTGTGAAATATGATTTTGCTTCGAGCCAAATATGAGTCATATGACTAAGGAAAGAAAAAACGCCAAAGTAAGTTTTTTGATGCAGCAATTTGTTTGTCTTGTTTTCTTTACTTTCTTTCTTTTCCGTTCATTTTTATATATAAATTTGTTCTCCTTTTTAAATTATAAATGTGATTTATGTTGTTGATACGATTGATTATTAATTTTCCATCATTTGCCTAACAGGATTGGTTCGAGCAATATCGGGAGCGGATACTGGAGGCTGAGCAATTGATTTTGACAACTTTAAATTTTGAGCTAGGTGTGCAGCATCCCTATGAATCATTGACATCCACTCTTCAAAAGTTAGGTTTTCCGCATTCTGGATTTGTGAACCTGGCATTGAGCTTGATCAGTGAAGGGTAAGTCCATTTGTTAAAAGTATAATAATTTAAAATGCTATTTTGCAGTGAGAACCTGAACCGACTGATAATATGATTTGATGTAGAACTTACCAGTAAAGATACTTTTAGACTTCGAGTGCAGGGCTAGTATTGTTGTTCTGTCAGATTTAAATCATTGTTTCTGGCATTTATTGATCAACCAACGGTGGCAATCACTTGTAATCAACTTTATAGCTTCTTTGTTATTGCATTGCATGCAACTTTCTTACTGCTTTTTTGTCTCGTACTCTGTCATCATCCTGGCATGATATATTGATGTTTTGGATTGGCATATAATTGCAGGATCTATAGAGGATTAGCATGCACACCTTATGATATTAATAGCTGGCGGTTGATGTGCTGTTCATCAAATGTTTTGTTTTTCATCTGAAGTTGAACTAAAGATATTGGATGCCTTTTCCATGCTGACACCTTCACAACATGCTCCTCCGTTGGATATAGAAGTTACTTTCATGGATAACTAATAATTTTGTCCATTGTATGCCCTGATATGTGCCCATATGGAAATCCTACTATGGGATATACGTTTGCATTTACTTCATTTCAATATGCCATGCCTATGAGTATAGCCTGAGGAATTTTTAAAGATATTTGCTGAGTTGTTTCTTGTTACCACTGTCCTGTTTACTGGTTATGGGCTGCAAAGTCTCGACTCAAATTTCTTTCCTCTCTTTGTACAATTTATGTTCCAAACTTCTACAGACATTTTCTCTTCGCCATTCTTCATCCTCTCTTGTACCCATGTTACAGACATTGTGGTGTTCACTATCGTAAAACTCTTCAGATAATTTCCCTTCTTTTTTCGACTACCGAGTAACCTCCATTTATATTTTTTACTTGTTCAATTCCCTCCAAGCCGTCATAGTTTCAGAAACATAACCTATTTTGGCTGTCCAAAGTAAGTTTTTTGTCATAGGCTCTGCCACCCTTCTGTAGAGGGAAAGAAGGGCGATGATTAACTGCAACTGTAGGAGGAATTTGGAGAGATGGAGAGAGGGAGATGGACTATGTTTATTAGTGTGGAACACAACAAGCATTTTGATGACTATTCTCAGAATATTTATATATTATCGTGCGTTACTACTATCTTGTTTTGGGGCAGCTGGAGTGGGGTGTGGGTTGGGGTTGATAAGATGATTCTCTTTAGACAGTTTACCTTTAGATCCTATAATATTGAGTTATTTGTCATCTATCTTTATCAATAATATGTGGAATTTGTAGCTAGCTCGGGAAAAAAGAACTTACTTTAGATGCTTGGGGGCACAAAATTGAGGTTTGGTACATGCAGGTAGAAATTTAGTAATAGTTGATGAAACTATTTGTAGGTGTTGGCAGTGATATTTTTTGTCAGAATTTGCTAATTATATTACTGGGTTATTGGTCTCCGTCAACAAGTGCCTATATGAATATTAAACGTCTGTTGGCTGTTGATCAAAAGTGCTTTCTTCAGGCTAAGTAACTNATATCAGTCTTAAACAAGTTAATATATTATTTTATTCTGCAGAAGTTTTTTTTGCTGTCATTTTGATCATGTAGGACTTTTATATTTTTTATTTTTATTCCTGTTTTTGGTGTTAGCTTTGGATGGCTATCAGTACACTGATGCTTGTGCAAGGAAAGTCCTATTTTTCCAGTTATGTCATCACGATTTTATGTGTTCTTCTTGTTGGTTTTATACAATAGTGCTTATTCTCGACTTTCTAGTACAAATTAACTTTCTGCCGAACAAATGTTTTGTATATTGAAAACCGTTTTGTATAATGAAAAGTTCTTCATTTAGATCAAGCTTGAGAATGTCCTTTTCTAGTGTAGTAAGAAAGAATCCTGGTTTAAGTTTGATTTTAGACTCACTGTCATGAGGCCAAATGATGCATGTGTTTCTATTATCTAGTATTTGTTGTTGAAAATCATTTAGGTTTCTTATTTTAGAAACATGATTTGTCAACAAATGGATATAGTGATACCTTTGAGATGCATATAACGCACCATTTTCTCTGATAAGGAGAATGTATTATCGCACTCTATTCTATAGTACTGTACTTACAAAATGTGGAAAAATTACAGACATTTGTTCATATTGGGGTGTTTTGTTGCAATAATATTTATTAAAATAAACACACACACACACACGCATATATTATATATCATAAATGCTGTATATGTATATATATATATATATGTATTATACAAAGAGGGAAATATAGAAGAAAAGAAAACTAAGATAAGAGGGGATGAATAATTATAAATATAAAATATATTGTATCTAATATGTGTAGTATATATATATATATATTAATGTAAACGTATGGTGGGCTAGCAATATCTATTTTATCAAGTCTGACGGCATGAAACTTGCATGTTTCAAGTTTTTGGCGATTCAAACTTTTGAGGAGGCTTGGCCTTGCTCCGGAGGTTTTAGCTTGCTTGTATTATTTATGGCCATTCAAATCAACACGGTGTTGGTATATTATGGCGGCAAAGTTGTATGTGTAGATGGTGTGCTAAGTACTCTATATTAGGGTGTACTCAAATCAACATACTGCTGAAGAATCTTGGATTTTTCCATCACACTCGCTGCTTTATTTGTTGGTAAGGAAAATTTGTTTTGTGTTCGCTTTTACTTGGAAAATTGTTTATTTTATGAAATTAACTTCTTTGAACTAATTGTTCTATGATTGTGCCAAATACATATTCAATCAGCTCTAGACCCTGTAAGATCAATTGTTTGGTGTTGTTTATCTGTTATTGAGTACTTCTTCCGTATTTCTGAACTTCATTTTCTTTTCGGCAGGCTTAGGAGCTCACTTTGGCTCCAATTCAAACCTCACCAGATAGCTGCTGGTGCTGCTTACCTCGCTTCCAAATATTTAAATTTGAATCTTTCTTCATCTGACAATGTTTGGAAGGAGTTTTATACGCCACCATCTGTACTAAGGGGTAAGCACCATTTTCTTTCTGAGCATTTGCATTTGCCTTAAACATTCTGTTCCCCTGTAATATGAAGAAATGTTTGCTATTACTTAAAAAAGAGATTTATTAATATTGCTCGTAGCTAAGAAATAATATTTTTTAACTGTTCTTGATTGTCAGAGTTTGTTTTCTAATTCTGCGTAATTTAATCTGACTCTAAAAGCGGTAGGGTTGTCTTAGTTTTAGATCTATTACTTGTTCCACTTTTACTCGATGAGCTACTTTTTCAACTTATCCTTTTCTTTTACTTTTAAATTTTATTTGTGAAACCCGCCAAGTTACTAGATTGAATGACATTTTTCTTATGGTAGAAACTTTCACACTCTTAAGTAAACTTACTAAGAAGCCTAATTTATTTTCTGATGAGTTATTTACATGGCTTCTACATGCAAATCATCGGTAAGTGCTTTTCTTTAAGTACGTAACAAGTGAATAGAAGTGGTTGGATGTTTAAGAGAGTAAAAATGGTCATGAATACGACTTCAATGTATTGTTTAAGTGAATGCTATTATTTCTATGAAATCATAGTTGTTTTTCACATGCTGTACAAAAGACAACACAGTGGAAGCAAGTCAACCCTTTTCGGGTGCACTGTTTGGGTAGAAAAGAATGGAGGAAGAAGAAGGGTAAATGTTTTCAAACCAGGAAGAAAGTGGATGATATCAGTAAATTTGGACAAATAAGGCAGAGCAATTCGTGCATAATGTGCTTAGTGATTATTAATTATTATTGCTTCTTCTGCTTTTGCGATACTAATTTTTATCCATCAATATAATGCTTGCTACTGTTTCTGCAGATGTTGCGCATCAACTGATGGAACTATATTGAAATATCTAATAGTTATGACTTATGATCAACCTCCCATGCTCTCGGCCTCCCGAGTCCTGTTCAATATTCACGTGATTTGCGGAGTTATGGTATTCTTCTTTTCTAAAGATGTTACAGTGTAATCGTGGATCTTGTGTTGTATGTTTTCGAAATGGTGTTAATTTTGATACTATAGCAAGAAAACACCTTGAATTTCTGTTCATTCTTGATTTACTTTGGTAACACATGCTTGTAATCGTGGATGGATCTATAGTGATATTCCTTTTGTCTTCATTTTCTTTTGTTCATGGACAAATTGTGGAGGTCAGAAAGTAAGAATAACAATTCTAGCTCTTTTTTTACAATTATGCAATTTCCAGTGGTGGACGCTTATGGAATTTTATTGTGTTTAAAAGGAAAATCGTATTTTTTTTTTTAAATTTAAATATGAATACATTCTAATTATATTGCAGCTTGGTCCTTCTAGAGTTTTATGTGGGCTTCGTGTGATTGTTAGTTATTGCAGTTCCACACAAGTATCCACTAAAAACGAGTCAACTGATTGGATTGTCTGCCCCAATTGGCTTTATGCTTCTACCGGTCAAAATAAGTAATTTTTTTTTTCTTGAAAGCACGTCCATACATTTTCAATCATGAATCTAATGCTTTAGATCAGAGAAATGGCTCTTTCAACTTTTGGCTGACTTTTCTGGTGTGGCTGTTGTTTGCTTTGGCTTTGTTCATTTGGAATTTCAAGCAAGTATTGGGGAACGAAAATATATATGTGGGATTATTTCAATCATAATCTCAACTGCTATTCACCGCCCCCCTTTTACTTGTCACCGCCCCCCCAATTACTCTTTTGCCCTTAACCTTTTTTTGGATTTCATCTCTCTAAACTTTATCTCTCTAAATTTTCCGAACTTCAACGAACGATTCGAGCATCAAAAAAAATCCGAAAAAATGTCGAAAAAATTCTACGGCCTCGGCAAAGGATTCTTCTCCGACAAGGTATTTTTTTTTTTTTTTTTTTGAGCCGAACTNATAAATAATAATAATAATGATAATTATTATAAATTATAAATTATATAAAAATAATAATTAATAATAATAATGATAATAATTTAAAAAAAAAAAAAAAAATATTCCGTCCGGCCGGCCGGACCGGACGGACCGGTTCCGACCGGCCGCCGGTTCCGGTCAGGCACGGTCCGTCCGGCCGTGCTTTCCGGACGGTATTTGCTCCGTCCGGCCACCGGTTCCGGACGGGCTTTAAGCCGTCCGGCCGCCGGTTCCGGACGGGCTTTAAACTGTCCGGAACCGACGTCCGGACACGAATTTTTTCGTACCTCGGAATTTGACGACATTTCACCGTACACTTCTCTGAGATGTTTACGAAAAATGAGAGGGGCAAAATTGTCCAAGGGGGGCGGTGACTAGTAATTTGGGGGGCGGTGACAAGTTATGCTAAGGAGCCAACAGTCAATGTGACAGCTCCATATGGGGCTATCCCACATTGGAGTCATGTGGGACAGTCCCACATAGAGCTGTCCCATTGGCTGTTGGCTCCATAATGGAGCCAACATATTATAGAAAAATGTTAGTGTGCCGTTACAAGATGGTTCTGTCAGTATTTTTTACCGTTGAATACACATGTAGATTATGTGGTGTAGATAATTTACGGTGACAAACACTGACGGAATCATTCCGTCAACGGGACTGTAGTCATTCCACATATTATCTTTCTTCATGAAAACTTGAGGTGTGTATTTAATAAGAAATTAATATATATCTAGTCTTTTTTGTATTTAATAAGAAATTAATATATATCTAGTCTTTTTTGGGTTACACAATTCACTAAATCTACCATTTTTTAACTACTAATCAAAATTCTTTTTTGGTTAACTAACCAAAATTACACCATTGGATTTTCATACAACCTATTACATTATAAAACACATTTTCTAAGCTTTTCAATGAACTTTTTCAATTGAAAGTCGGATATCTTAATTATCGAAAAAACAAAATAAAAATCTTATGCTCCCGTGTGCCGCTTATCTTCTTTATTGATCATGACCGATGAATAAGTGATATAAAATTGATATATCATACATATTCGTCCCATTATGGTCTTCAGAAAGTTTGACAAAATTTTAATTGAGTTGTTTTNTTAATATTTATGAGACAAATTGTCATTTTTCAAGTTTTTAGGAGGTAACTTATCAACTCTAAAACTTTAAATCACATATTGTTTAAAAATAAATTATAGAATACTTTGGTTGGCTAATTTTTTCCATATATTTTTAAAATATTATCTAAAGATAGACAACATCATATTATATCTTTGTTACTTAATGAACTTAAGAAATGTGTTACTTAAAGGAATATAATTATTGAAAGAATAATAACACATTGGAAGATTAAATGTCTACTAACTAGTGTTCAATATGTGCGCATGCAAATATACAAATAAAATATTATAAGTCATGTGTATGAGTACTATATTTAATATCATAAATTATACAATAATAATATCACAGTTTATAAGTTTGAGCATTAGTGCAAATAAATAGTATAATAATAAAATAGTTTTCTTTATACTAATCGCTATATAGATTGCAAAATATACATATATATATATATGTACTAATAATGTAAATTTTATAATTTAAAGTATCATGACCAATTAATTAATTAATAATATTAAATTACTATTATTTTAGCAATATTTTATGCGATTTAAAGAGATTCTATATACCATTAAAGCTTAGCTATTTAAAAAAATAACCTGATAAGATAAAAAGAAAAAGATAATAGTTTTAAAATAAATATCTTGAAGAAAAAAATTCGGTATATAGTTTTTTTAAGTGTGTAACTTTCATAAACCTAAATGAATTTATAATGAGTCAATATTATTAATAAACATTACAAGATATAATAATATAAAAATTATTACATCTAATTAATGAAAACAATGTAATGGTAGATTCTCGCATTTAAATAAAAATATTCCAGTGAAAAAATTATGTCATAATATTAATTAGTTTGACTACAATTATATATATACTAGTAGTTGATAATGTGCACATGCATAAATGTAACTAATGTATTATAACATATATATACGCATATCATCAAGGGCGAGACCAGAAAATTAGTTGAGAGGGGGCAAAAGACATGACATAATTTGTAAAAGATAACAAAAATGCATAAAAAAAAATTACCTTATAATTACAATTGTTCACAACGAGATGACATGGCCTGAAATCGTTGCATAATATTTTCATTACTAATTTTATCAAAAACATATTTCTCACCATACGAAACCAAACAAGCGTTGAGCCAATCATCTTCCATTGGGTTGTATAATCGATTTTTTATGATCTTCATTGCAGAAAATGCTCTCTCCACAGTAGCAGTAGCAACCGACACTATCAACGCTAAAGTAATAAGCATATAGATCAAAGGATATGTCACGTACCTTCTAGTTTCTACCATTTTAACAGCAAGGTTTGAAATCCCATCAACCACCGAAAAGTCACTGCTCGTACACACATCCATAATATAATTTTCAAGTTGATTATCAAGCACCACAATATCATACGAGAATAATCCTTAGGGTGAAGCCGTGCAAACCTTATAAGCCTTTCCCTATCGAAAGCTTTAAAAGAATCCCTAGAATTTAGGCATCCCACACAAAGAAGTAACTCGGTATTTGCCTCAGAAAACTGACTATTAAGCTCCACAAGTGTCTATCCAAAATAGCATAAAATAAATCACAAGGAAATGAACCAAGTTTGTTTTTTCTTGATTACTTCAGCTTGGACGACCAGGAGCTATGAAATTTTCATCCATATTTAGGACATGGACTTCATGTATAGAACAAAATGAAGAAACTTCATTCAAAAGACCATCCCATTCGTCGTCTCTCATTGACTGCAATCTTTGTTTTGATATAGAAACTAACCTCATAGCATTCTCAATATCTTGCTCTTTTCTTTGTAAAGCCAATGGCAAGTCATGAGTAATTCCCAAAACATTTTTCATCAAATGCATAATGAATATAAACTCAAATGAATGCAGTGTATCTAATAACATTCGTGCTTCAACTTTTTGATCGGTGCTTACCCTATCCTCCATAATAATTTTAAGTACTTCAGTTACGGACTGAAACATGGAAGCAAGCTTAAATAGAGTACCATAATGTGAACCCCAACGAGTACACCTGCTCGTTGCAGACAGTTTCTTGATTCAATCCACGTCCTATAAGAATTTCACCTTTTCTTAGAGCTTCTACAACTTTTTCATGTTGTTTGGCTCTAAAAATATCCTGTCTCTTAAAAGATGCTCCCACAACATTCATAACCTTTGATGTGATCTCAAAAAGATATTGAACTTGAAAATGATATTTTGCCACAGCTACTAAACTCAACTGAAGTTGATGAGCAAAACAATGAACGTAGAATGCACATGAATTTTCTTACAAAATAAAAGTTTTCAAGCCTTTAAGTTCACCTTGCATGTTACTTGCCCCATTGTATCCTTGACCACACAATTTTGATATGCTTAAACCATGACAAGAGAATAGACGATCAATGATACCCTTAAGTGAAGTAGCAGCTGTGCTCGAAACATGTTCAATACCGAGAAACCATTCCAATATCTTCCCCTCTTTATTTACATATCGTAAACAACTGCCATCTTCTCTTTCACTGACACATCAAAAGACTCATCAGCTAATATTGTAAAATATGCCTCACCAATATCCTTAACTATCGCACAAGTAGTTTCAGCAGCAGCAGCAACACAAATTCTCTTTTTGGATAAAGGATGACGTCAACAGGCAATTTTTTGGAGCATTATGAAATGAAACTTTTTCTACAAGTTCACTATGTTCAGCAAGCCAATGATAAAGTTCCAAATAATTACCCCTATTAGAAGACATGTTAGGTTCATGATGACCTCGAAATGCTAAACTCTACCTTAACAAGAAACGAACACAATCAATAGTTGCATTCAATCAAGTTCGATATTCAACTTTATCCTTTTTTTGCTTTTCACTGAATAAAGTGGAAACATTCTTGGTGAGGTTTTGATTTGTTAGATCATTACATTTCGATTTGGCTATATTATGAGAACTATTATGCTTGCCAATATTTTGATCAAATTCTAAAACCTTCGCTAACAAATGCATCGTCCCCACTTTGATCACCCGGTGTTCCAAAAAGATAACAATAATACAAGAAGTATGCACTATCTTTAGATATGTTGTACTCTAGCCAACCAGGATACTTTTTAAACCAATTTGCAATAAACCTCCATTTCACATGTACCCTTTAATAAATATATCTGGCGCACTTTTTCCCTGTCATTAGCATCATAACTCCATATTGGTTGTCGCAATCCCGGATCAACTGGAAGGTTTTTGAAATTAGATATCCTTTTTTGACTCGGGGGATTTGAAGATTCAATCATTGTAGACTTATTCTTTAGGAATTTCTCCATTGTTATTCACTTTTTAACTCCCTTTATCAAAATATAAAAGTATTTTTTGGTCAGCAAGAGCAATTCCAACATTCAAAATAATTCGAATAGACAATTCAAAATAACAATTAAACTTAAAAACTATAAACAACCTCAAATTAGCAATCAAACGGGAAAAAAAGAATAAAAAGACAGAGAAAAGCAAGATAAAATAATCCAAGCTTCACAACATAGAGAAATTTAGAGTTTCTCCAATAATTAAGCAGCACTAAACAACAAGAACAAATGAAATAAACAATAATTTTTAAAATCCTTAAAACAACCCTAATTTCGGGATTTATGAAGGAGATAAAATATAACGAAATATACCTTAAGTGAGAATGAAAGAGACCAAAGAGGTGCTTGATTTATTGCTCACTTGGTCGTGTGGAGGAGAAGAAGATGTCGATGTCGCGCCGAGAATTTGAAATCGACAGAGGTAAAGTGGGGAGTCTCTGTCTTGGCAATAAGTTTGAGAGGTAAAGAGAGTGAGAGTTGGGCGCTAGGCCTTAGCAATAAGAAGTGTTGAAAATTGTGGGCCATGATTTAATAACTCATGCAATGGGAAATATTAATTAAAATTGTGGGCCTGAGCGATAAAAGAGAGTTGGAGTCTTTTATTTGGGTCAATTAAACTTGTAGAATGATAATAATTAATATACAAAATTAATAGTAAAATAAAAAAAAAAAAAGTGTTGAATTGTCAATTGACAATTGTGGACAAGTTGNTATACTATTAAAATCAACAAGTTAGTTACATAAAATGCTTAATAAAATAAAAAAAAATATTAAATTTTAGAATAAATAGCAATAAAAAAATTTGCAATATAATTTTTTATACTCATGTGAAGTAACTTTCATATACCATATAGTGTGAATTATTAATTTAATTAGTAACTATTGTATGATACAATAGTAAAAAACAATATGATTACATTTTAATTAATATGATATGTAATGGTTTGTTACCACAATCAATGAAAGAAATACAAATAATTGTGTATTATCGGATCCATCATATCAATAGTCATGATCAAATTAAGTTTTAGCATATAGCATTCAAACATACGGTGGCAATCTTGTGATGAAGTGTACATTTTATGGTCAAATGTATACATTTGACCACTTAGTAGAGGCAAATTGGACATTACACAATCATCCAGTCATCAACCCACACGTTGGCCCAACCCCACCCCACCCACCAACCCTCCACTTTCTCTCTTTCTCTCTCCCCGACTGGTCTTCCACCTCCGCCATCCTCCACCATAGCCATCAGTCATCCCCCGCCACCGCCATCCACCACACATCCGACCACAACCCCATCTCAGCCACCGTAGGAGCCCTCCGCCGGCATCGGAAATCGCTCCAAATATGGAGCTGATGAAAAATTCACAAAATCCATAGGCAGCCAGAAAAATCTGAGGCTGACGAAAATGCCCGTCTCAGCTGCCTCCGTCGCGGCACTTGCTCTCACCGTGTCATACCTCCGGTGAGCAGGATGAATGGTGTCGCCGTCCAGCGGGTGGATCCCATTGCCGGCACTGCCACGCCGCAGTCGTTGTCCATCACAACACTCGGCGTCGATGTCTATGTAAGGAACCTATACTTCGTGTCTTTTAGGTAACAAAACATGACGATGGCGAGCGTTGGGGCTAGGACATGTTTCAGAAATTAGATATGTTCAGGGGATACATATGTAATTTACTAACTTTTAATATACTTGCACTTTTGTACATGAGGGAAATCAATAATTTATTAAAAAATCAATAAATGCACAATAATGATACATACGATGCACAATATTGCCTGAGGAAATATAGATTAAAAAATAACGTAATATTTTTTAAAGAAATTATAGAAAATGTGTCCGCCTACACATTTAAACGTTCAAAATTTAACCAAGATGCCACCGCGCTTACGGTCGTTCATCGACCAAACCGAACAACCAAAACAATTGAGTCAAACTTTTAAAAAAATCAAACCGATCGAATTTTTGTCCCAAATCTAAATAAAACCGAACTGAAATAATCGTTTTATTCGGTGGGTTAAAAGCAGAATAATCGAAATAGATTATTATTTATAGTAAAAATAGATATTTAGTATTTTAATAATTTTATTTCATATTTTATATATTTTTGTGTTAAAATAAATAGTACACACACACACACACACACACACACACATATATATATATATACATAATATAAAACAATATTTATTATATAGTCCGATCGGTTCGGTTATTTCGGTTATCTTAAAAAATAAAGCCGAAATTGAACTGACATAATCGAAATTTTAAAAGTGAAAGTTGATAACCGAATCAACATAAGAAATGGAACTGAAATTTTCTTTGGGTCGGGTCCGATTGGTTTTTCGGGTGAAAGAATTTGGCAGTCTGGTGTGGTTTTAGTTAGTCGAGTTACCCGTCTCTGGAGTCTCTGAAGCTATATTCGGGTTGGGTTCCTATCCGTGTAGGCGGTCGTCTCCGGGCGCGGTGTTCGTGGCTTAGCAGAGTGTTGCCGGTTGGGGAAAGGGTTTATTTTAATATTGTGTATTTGTATTTTGTTTTTGATTTTGTTTTGTTTTTTTTTTCTTTTTGGATGTTGTTATTGGCGTACTGTTTGATTATTCTTTTTTGAAGTTTGATTCTTTTTTTTTAGAAGTTTTATTCTCTCATTGTGAGAGTGTATAGTTTGTTGTGTAGTGGATGAGTTACTGTGTCTATTTCTAGGATGCACTTCTGTGTGTAGTCCTCACGCTAGATTCGGCTCGATGCCCGCTTGACTTATTATAGTTGATATCTAGTTGTAATTATGTATTTTTTTATATAATCTATTGTTTCAAAAAAAAATTGTCCATTGCAAATGGAGTTGGAAGAGTCATTGTTGACAATTCTCTTGGCATATTGGCATAGTGCTAATAATGGACTAGATTAAAACGGCTCAATTAAATTCTAGTGCTTCTTCTATTAGTGAAGTTTCTAGAAAAAAAAATATATCAAACGGCGCAATGCATCTTGAGTCGCTACGGAAACAGCCTCGTTGTATAATTACAAGGGTAAGGTCTGCGTACAACTGACCCCCCAGACCCCAACCTGTTGGAAATATACTGGGTATGTTGTTGTTGTTGTTGTTGNAGTGGCGACCCAGGTCATTGTGACCTTGGGTTGTAATCGGTTTCTTATTGGGAATGAGACACTTGTTCTATTTTTATTGGACAAGTATATTTTTTTTTGTTTATAAAAAATACTACAGTTCATGTTTTTCATTCTTTATAAATAGAGACAATACTTGATAGATTTTGAAATATAATTATAATTTTTAATAATAAAATGAAATTAAAATTAATAATTAAGTTGACTTCGGTTCGGAATAAAGACAAATTAAGTTGTAAGGTTAGACGGTGTAAGTAAAGAAGACAAAAATAATTTTTAATTATTAAGGTCGGTTAAATTGGGTTGGGTTGAAAATAAAGATGGTGTAACAATGCTTTCCCAAACTACCTATGTCCTGGATAATTTATTATTGGAAAATTTTCCTTCTAATATTGTAAGAATATTTTTTCTTTTCTTTTCAACAATTGATAATAAAAAACAAATTTGTTGTGAGGAAATCTGCAAGAAGAAGAAAAGAAAAAAAAATAAAAAATCTGCAAGATCGTAATAGAAACAGACCTCGTATTTAGCAAGATAGAACACGCGCGCACACAGAGGGAGAGAAAAAGCAACCTGCTGCGATCTCTCTCTCTTCACCATCAAGATTTATCTTTTAACCACACAAAACCTCTCTTTTCTGCGCTTTGCTCTGTAAATCTCATAATTTGCCTCCAAGATTTACTTGTTTGTACAGGTTTCAGGGTTTTAGTTGATCTGGCAAAAGGGCTTTTCAATAATACCTCGATTTATTTCCAAATAAACTTCTTCTTTTGTCAATTGAGGTAACTCTCCAAGAATTTCTCCGGATTCGACGGCTTTAATGAGGTCTTTGATTTGATCGACATTAGCAATCCCATATTTAAATTTTAGAGAGAGAGAGAGAGAGAGATGTTAACGAATCATTTGCAAAATGGAATGGAGACAGCAAAGCTGATGTGGGCCCGTCTGCCGAACTCGGAGGTTGAGGCAGATGGCCCTGGTGCTCATGACGAGCTCGGCCGGTCCAAAAAGAACGATGGGAGCATGGTTGAAAGCCTCGACTATGAAGTTATTGAGAATTTGGCCTACAGACAAGAGCAGGTGCAAAACCACACAATTATATGTTTTATGTGACGATTTATTCTTTCTTCAAGTTGTATGATTGTGTACAAATTGTTCGTGTTATATATCGACATCATGATCCTTTCCATCATGGTTATGGTTTGGTTTGGTACTTGAAATTCACAGGCAAAGAGGGGGAAGCTTTATATGGGATATAGTGTGGTAGTGAAATGGATTTTGGCATTGCTTATCGGGATTGGTAAGTTTAAAAAATTATTTAATTAATTATAATAGCTTAGTACCTGAATTGTACAAGTAAAATCGATGCTAAAATGATGCTCAGTTGTATTTTCGCTGTTTGTCTTTATATATATATATATATCCTCAGGTACTGCATTAGCTGCTGTTTGCATCAATATTTCTGTTGAGAATTTTGCTGGATGGAAGTACTCGTTGACCTTCAATATAATTCAGAAGTCGTACTTTGTGGGGTTTCTGATCTATGCATCCATCAACTTGGTTCTAGTTTTATCTTCTGTATATATTGTTACAAAATTTGCACCAGCAGCTGCAGGATCAGGAATTCCTGAAATCAAGGGCTATCTAAATGGTAAGGTCAATAATTACATACATACGAGTTGATCTGTAGTTACATGTTCCAGTCTTTCTTTTTTTACGCTGAAGCTAATATCCTTCAAATTTGTGCAGGAATTGACACGCATGGTATACTTCTGTTCAGAACATTAGTAGGAAAGGTAAAAACGGCTTCTTTCACCAGGCCTTTATATATATATATATATATATATATATGATGGTTTTATGATACAATATTTCCCATTTGTAGATTTTTGGTAGCATAGGGTCTGTGGGAGGTGGCTTGGCTCTTGGTAAAGAAGGTCCACTTGTACATATTGGTGCTTGTATTGCTTCGTTGCTTGGGCAAGTAAGTTCATATTTATTAAAAGATAAATTTCTTGGGTGTCATGTAAAGGATAAGTTGCAACAAAAACTATATCTCCTATGATCCAATCATTACTAAATTGTTGCTAACTAACTTGTCTGACTTCTTTTACGTGCAACTGACACCCAAGATCTAGCCTTTTTCTTTTCTTTTATTTTATTTTTCTGTTTAATTTATGGTCAGACTGGTGAAATCTTCCTTTGTTCTCCTTTTCTTATAACTACAGGGTGGTTCTACAAAATATCATCTGCGCTCCAGATGGTTACAAATATTCACAAGCGAGCGTGATCGTCGTGATCTTGTAAGTAATATGTTGAATATTTAACCTTCTGGTTGCCATTTTTCTTCTGTCAATATATAGTGTTCTCGTTCCCTTTCGTTGTGACTTTATCTGCAGATAAATTTTCTGGACTTTGATGAATTACATATGGAAACTTCTAGTAGCGATTAGTGTGAAAATAAGGTGATAATGTAGGTTCTCTTACTGGATGGAGTTCATGAATATTTTGCAGATATGGTGGTATCTTCAACACACGGCATTGCAGTAATATTACACAATTGTTTAAGACTGCCTTACACATATTTTATTAATATGTGTTGGAGGTTTTTCTAGAATTGACATACAAGTCGGGTCTTAAATAAAAGTAGCATGTCCATTTCATACTACATTGTAAATATTCCTAATTGTCACCTGCTTGACTTCCAAAATTCAGCTGAGGATCCAGTACATTTGTGGCTTTTTATAGCAATGCATGCTTTCTAGATCTTTAATTTAGTCGGCATAGTTGTTGCCTTCTGTTGGCTGATTCACGAGGTTAAAAGTAGATGCATTATTGTGGTAAAATAGATACCTGTAGCATTGCTCATTGTGTACTGGTTTAATGTTTTGAACAAGGTAACCTGTGGATGTGCAGCAGGCGTTGCTGCTGCTTTTAGAGCTCCTGTGGGTGGTGTATTGTTTGCACTAGAAGAAGTAACATCATGGTAATTTTTGTAATGATTGGTGTGAGGAATCTTTTTTGATATATGCATATCTGTGTCAACTTAATGTATTTTCTGCTCTTGGATCCCTTGTTTTTGGCACTTAGAGCACCACTTAACGACATATCAAGATTCTGCTTGAAGTTGAAATGTGTAGATTTGGCTACTCAAGTTAGTGGAATGGCTTATAAACTTAAAAAAGAGAGAATATGGGTGATATACGTGCATTTGTTTTGTGCGTCATATCATTTACTAATGAAAATGCTAAAACTATGAAGAAATTTAAAATGGCTCAATTAAATTCTATTGCTTCTTCTATTAGTGAAGTTTCTAGAAAGAAAAAAAAAAAAAAAATTATCAAACGGCGCAATGCACCTTGGGTCGCTACGGAAACAGCCTCCTTGTATAATTACAAGGGTAAGGTCTGCGTACAACTGACCCCCCAGACCCCAACCTGTTGGGAATATACTGGGTATGTTGTTGTTGTTGTTGTTGTAGAGGATCACTGACTAGCTGATTGAGCTGCTGCCTTTGCTCCCTGTTTCAGGTGGAGGAGTCAGCTTATGTGGCGTGTCTTTTTTACATCTGCCATTGTTGGAGTTGTTGTACGTACGGCAATGGGGTGGTGCAAAAGTGGAAAGTGCGGACATTTCGGCTCTGGAGGTTTTATTATATGGGACATATCAGGGTAATAATCTGAACTTTACTTCGTCATGTTCATTTTTATCTGTTTTCGCTCGTCAAGCATTTATTGCTGTATTTGACTGCACTTTAACCGAGATTCTTTTTAGTGGTCAAGAAGATTACTCATTTCAGGAGTTGTTGCCAATGGCAGTTATTGGTGTTATCGGGGGTCTTCTAGGTTTGTGCAAATATATATGTCAACTGATTTTATTTTCTCTATTCTAGGTGACACGCTTTCATGAATGCATTCTCCCTTGCTGTGCAGGTGCTCTTTTTAATCAACTTACTTTCTACATAGCTCTCTGGCGCCGAAATTATTTGCACAAGAGGGGAAATCGAGTCAAAGTAAGTTCTTCCTGAAGTGAGATATTCATACTCTGCCAGTAATGGTAGACTATATATTGACATTATTCCCTTGCATTACAGGTTATTGAAGTGTGTATTGTTTCTTTGATCACCTCAATAATTTCATTTGGATTGCCACTTTTTAGACAATGCACCCCTTGCCCTGAAGCGAATGCTGATTCTGGTATTGAATGTCCTCGTCGCCCGGGAATGTATGGGAATTATGTCAATGTAAGAGGCTAAGATATCTTGAACTTGATACTTCATATTTAATTCTTATAATCTTAGATTTGAGCTAAAGATCACAAAACTTCTAAACTTTGCTAATTAATGATGCCTAAATGGTAATATATCAATCTACACTAGCAAAAATTGTCTGATGCTGTAATTACATTTAAATGGTTTATCTTTGTTATTTGTTCTCTTCATATCCCATTGAAATATATTTGGCAATTATCTTGCGCTTTTACGTTTTGCAGTTTTATTGTGGTGACAAGGAATACAACGACCTTGCAACTATATTCTTCAACACGCAGGTTGACAGAAATTCCACATCATTTTCTTATTTAGTGGTGGTTATCATGTGGTATCTTCTAATGCAGCCTCAATGTGTTCCAGGATGATGCCATCAGGAATTTGTTTAGTGCTAAAACAATTCATGAATTTAGTGCGCAGAGCCTTCTGACCTTTTTGGTACGGCATTACCTCTCAAATCCGATTTTATCATGATTGCATATATAGTGTCATATACTATTAGTCCTAATTGCTTTGTGTATGTTACGTTGCAAAAACAGATGGGGTTGAGTGTAGTTTTTTCAATTATTTAGAGCAGAGGATGTTTAGTGCTGTTAATTTTTAAACTGTTGCCTCAAGTAATTTAGCTAAGAAAAGTGTAATTGCATATCATTGGAAAAAATCCCGCCATCATGGATTGAATCTCCGATTATTCAGTCACCAGAAGCTTTCTTCAAGCCACCAATCAGAATCACCAACAACCAACTAAACCTGAGCTCCTCAAAACTCGGGCCTAGTGACCAGCCGATAGTGACAACTATCGAGCTCAACAACAGCTTAGTTTCAAGCACTGAGTTGATAGTTGACACATCTTTCAGGCCTGGGACTGAAAGAACACCTTGTATCTATTGGCTGGAAATGTTTAAACCTCGTCCTTCTTTACTTATCATCACCAAGTAGAAGTTGAATCTGTTCTAACTGGATAGTTTTGAGTTACCAGAAGCAAGTCTCCTGTATATCTTGGTGAATTATGTACAATGATTTAATTTTTATGTTCCTGCCGATTTAATATTCGTATGTTGTATTCATGTGCAGGTTATGTTTTACTCTTTAGCAGTGCTCACTTTTGGCACTGCTGTTCCGGCAGGTCAATTTGTTCCTGGCATAATGATTGGTTCAACTTATGGTCGGCTTGTTGGCATGTTTGCTGTTAGCTTTTACAAGAAGTTGAATATTGAAGAAGGAACGTAAGTCCCATTTTTTGTCCTTTGATTTTTATTTAAATTTCCTGTAACTTCAATTAATTATAGAGCTGCCGCTCGCTCTTATCTTATGTTTTTTCTTTTATTCTCTTTCTTTTGTGTGTTCANCATATGTATATATATATATATATATTGTGTGTGTGCGTGTGTGTTGTGTACATATGTGTACTAAAAAAATTACAAATTTAGTCCGAAAGTGCAAAATTGGTTGTTAAAAAAAATTGGAGGACCATTTTTGCACCTTAGGGACTAAAAATAAATTTGAAACATGGCCAATTCCTAGGACTAAATTAGCAATTTCCTCCGTGTTTGTTGTTTTAGAAGTTTACTTAAGCCTCAATTTCTTCTAGTGGCCCTGGAGTTCAGGGGGTCTTGTCATCTTATGAATGTGTCTTTCAGTTTCTAATTGTGCGTCTCCTAAATAACATATGAGAATTTTATTGCTTCTATAAAATCCAGATATGCCCTCCTAGGAGCTGCATCATTTCTTGGTGGCTCGATGCGGATGACTGTGTCCCTGTGTGTGATTATGGTCGAGATTTCAAATAACTTGAAGTTTCTACCTCTTATCATGCTTGTCCTCCTCATATCAAAGGTATGATAGTTTGGAACTAATATTGTTATTTAATTTATTTTTACCTTGTGAGTCATCATGGTTATATTGTTTGTTATTGTCCTTCTGAAACCTATATTGTTATAGAGTTTATATTACTTAATGAGGCGTGATGGTCTTTATTTTGTCCTTGAAAATGAAACCCATTGGAATAAATTTAAAAATTGACAATTTTTTTTAGATATTTCACTTCTATCCTTCTCCCTCTCCTCGTTTTCTGTCATTCACGTATATGTATTTACATCTTTTCTCGACATTGTTCTCCCAGTAATTATTTTAACATGATATATCCACTATCCAGTATATCAAAAGGAGCCTATCTTGAACTTTTGGAGCAAAAAGAAAAGCATATTGTATCTTACATCTTTTTAGCTTTAAGACGGTATAATATTTTGTAATACTAAATTGGGTTCCAATTATGTCGAAGTATCTTCGTATCTTTCACGTTTTTTTGAAGAATGAAGCAAAATCATTTGTGGCGTAAAGTGAATGTTTGTTCCCTTGCTTTGTATCTGTCATATTTTAAGTTTTCTCGATTTATGTATCTGTAGGCTGTGGGTGATGCTTTTAATGAAGGCCTGTATGAGGAGCAGGCTCGACTAAGGGGCATCCCGTTACTGGAATCGAGACCAAAATATCAAATGCGTAATATGACTGCAAAGGAGGCATGTGGACATCAACAGGTTTGTGGCAAAGCCATGCTGTCAACTTGGCAAAGCCATAGAGTTTTCATTGATATATAAACCTTGTCTAATTTGCTGGATGTAAAAAACTGAAATTTTAGTTTTATATCCCTCGATAACTTTTCTTTTCTCCTTTTAAAGACATTCAAAGTTGTCTCTTTCATTAGTGGTTTAATTTGGGAAGCACTGGAGAATTTTTGTTCATGAAATAATAGAAAAATTTAACCTTCTCTTTGCATCTGTAACTTTAAAAAGCTGCTATGGATTTGAATTTGGGTTTAGTTTTACAGGACCTATGCATGTTACCCAATAATTTGGAATTGTCCTAGTTGTTATGCTTGTAGTCTTCTCCTACCTTTGTTGGGTAAAAGAAATTTTCAATGCACTGTTTGTGCTTGTAGGTCGTCTATTTTCCTCGTGTTGTGAAGGTTGTGGATGTACTTTCAATTTTGAGGAGCAACAACCACAATGGTTTTCCTGTAAGCTTTGGAGGTTTTATGTTTGCTTCATTCCTAAGCCCCTACCCATAGCTCTGCTTACTATTTTGGTTCNCCAGGTCATTGATCACACAAGAAGTGGAGAAACACTTGTAATTGGCCTTATTTTGAGAAGGTTTGCTTTTGAGAATTTGTTTCTGATTTTCTAATTACATCACTGTTTTTCTTGGAAATAGAACATCACTTGATGTGATTGACCTAATGGTTGTTTCACGTGAAAATTACTGTTTCCATGCATTATTGCAGTCATTTGCTAGTACTTTTGCAGTCAAAGGTCGATTTTCAGCACAGTCCACTGCCGTTTAATTCAGGAGATGGACCCATGCAAATCAGGTACTGAGCCACCCCACAAAAGAGGAAAAAAGAAGAGAGAGAGAAAAAAATGATTCTGCGTTGTGTTCTCAGAGAATGTGAATAGTGGTTGTTTTTTTTTTTCCTATTTTGCAGGCACAATCTTACAGAATTCGTCAAGCCCGTTTCTAGTAAGGGTTTATCTATAGATGACATCCACCTAACTTCTGAGGACCTGGAAATGTACATCGACCTTGCTCCGTTTTTAAATCCATCTCCTTATGTTGTCCCTGAAGATATGTCATTAACAAAGGTGACATTTTTAATAACCTCTTGTAGATAGATATTTAGGATAGTTAACCATTTACGAAAGAACTTGAATGTTTCTAAAAATTAAAAAGGCTCCTTTAGCACTTGAGTTTTTATTATTTGACAAATTGAACCTTCAACGGGAAGGACATTTATGAATTGCAACATTTTTAAAGGGAGTGATTTGTGTTCTAGCACCAATCCCTATGTTTATCGATTATTAGTAAATATGCTTAAGAGATCTTATAATAAACCGTTGATGATGATACAGGTCTATAATCTATTCCGGCAATTAGGGTTGAGGCATATACTTGTTGTACCACGTGCTTCTCGTGTGGTTGGGATGATTACGAGGAAGGATTTATTAATAGAGGTACTCCAAACATGTCATATTTGGTTATTTTGCATTATTGTTCTGTGCTAATTAATTTAATTTACTACTCTTTTCAGGAAAATGATGACACAGCGACTTTTGAGCTTCAATCCACGAGTGTAAGGTCTCTCTGCTGCTTTTTTAACTGCATCACTTGAATTCACGGCTTATCGAGAGTGGCTAAAATTTGATTTACGGATAGTGGTTGTTACTAACAAGATTAATCTAATAGGATATTCATTGTCTTATCATCTTTTCACTTAGCATGAAGTAGCAGTATTTTAGGAGCTAATATCTTGTTATACTTATGTACTGAATATTTATGGAAATGATATTTATTTCACTCGATAGAAATAATAAAGGTAAATTGAATACAAAAATTCGGGTTTTTATGCTGCATCTTCCCCCTTCGACTGGTAACATTATTGCTATTTGCGTTTTTCCCATGCCATTTTTCTTACGTTTGTTCCTACAAGAATGTTGTGGATTTGTTTCATTAAAATGTGGATATGGTTAATCTACTATTACTCCAATTTGGTCTTTCCAGGTTCTTCCTTATCTCTTCTTTGTTGTTCTCTCTTTTCCTCTGCATCCAAGAAAATGGATTATTTTGATTTGTATAAGTGTTTGTTCTTTCACCTTCCCAAACAATCAAAATGATATTTTGAAGCAAATTTGCTGTTATTTTCAGATCTCAATAATTAAAGAAAGTTGTGTTATTTATTTATTTTATTTTATTTATTTATTTGCGTGCAGGGATCCTCACGATGACAGACGAAGGAAAATGACAGCTGAACAACCGCTGCTTGATCGTTTTCTCGTTTAATAGTGCCCTTTTTATTGAAGAAGATGAGTTGAGATTCTTTGCACCTCCATCCTCCAGTAAACCTTCCCCCCTTTTTAATTAACAAGATCATTATTTTTTGTTATCTCAAGTTCTTCAATGAAAATAGGAATTATGTCAACAAGTGTTTTGTTTCTTTTACACTTTGTGCCATGGGAAAAGTTGAATATTAGATAGGGTGATATAGGGATTGGGAATACGCACACTAAAAATAAGGCTCCTGTCATTCTGTATGATCAATTATTATAATGTATAAATGAGATGGCTACTTGCTAGTATGGGTTAACGAGACTTCTAGGTGTTGATATATTTTTTATGGGAAAAATAATTTCTGTTTATCTTAAATAATAATAATAATAATAATAATAATAATAATAATAGTTGAAAAAAATGGTTGTGGCCAACCCGCTTCTACTTGGTGGGTCAAGGGTTTTAAACACCTTTGAACCTTGACCGGTCTAGATGTTTGGAGATTCCGAGTCTGTTTCGGACCAATCGGTTTAGGCTTGGACCGGAAGTTCTAAGCTTGTTTTAAAACTTAAGATAAAATGTAGATGTATTTAAATTGGATAAAATATAGATCTCGCATTTCTCCCAAGAAAAGGTAAAATCGACCTGACTGACACAGAGAAAACTAACCAAAAAAAAAAAAAAAATTGGTTATTGAAATTTGGTTACCGATGCTATTTTTGTTCGGTTACAAAATTTGGTTACCGATGTTATTTTTGTGCCGTTATCGATGCTATTTCCTTCGAATCTCGTTATTAATGAAACTCGTGTTCTTATATGACTTCGGACCTTCCAAATTAGAGGCGATTCTGGAGATGTTGAAGATTTAGCGATGAAGGAAATCTATACCAATAATGATGATTATGAAGAGCTAGGACCAAATGATGTATATATATCCGGAAGTCATCATTGTATTGCCACAATTGTGTGTGTGAGAGAGAGAGAGATTAGTTTTCATTTTATAATGTAGTTGAGCTTTTAGTTCGTGTTCTTACGAGCTTAAAGGTAAACATCTCTGTTTTTATCGTGTATATATGAGGGATTCACTATAGGTTTTAAAGTCCACATGTTAACACAAAAGTAGTTAGGAAACTAGAGTGTATGGACACTAAGATAAGAAGGGAGTTCAAGTCTCGTAAATCTGTAATACGCTACGTGCACGCGATCATTTTCTAGTGAAAACGTTCTTAGGGGAGTGGGAGGTTTCCCGAAGACAATTTTGTTTAAATCACTTCCGATTTTTATTGTGTGTTGTTACATAAAGTTGCACTTGTCCATTCCCCCGTACACTTCAAGGTCTATGCTCGTCTTGGTGCCTTTATTGGTGAAAGAGCTGGCACTTTATTTAAAATCATTTTCCTTCCTCCTTGCCATTTGAAAAAGATCTCTCGCTCTTCTACCTCATTCTCGAATTAGCTTATGTTACTTACCAAATACACTATAAACCATATCTCAATAAACATCTTAAATAAACTCAAAATAAGTGATACATTAGCTTATGTTACTTACCAAATACACTGTAAACTTTTAACAAATCTCAAGTTTATATAAGATATTTATTGAGATATGGTTTCAAAAAAGTTTAGAGAATTTTTTGTTCCAGCTGAATAATGAGCTAATGTTATAAAAAACTCTCATTATCAGAAATATTTTCCGTCATCTATCATCAACTCCAAATTAAAATATGAGATATCAGATAACTTTTCACAAATAAAACCAACTTTTTATTGAATATACCAAAATATTCTAAATTTTGCATGATTGGTATAATGGAATGAATAAATTTGATAGGAATGGGAAGAGTTGAAGAATGAAATGAATATGTGAAAGGAATGAAACAAGTTTTTCTATTGATGCGTTTGGTATGCAGAATGAATAAGACATGAATAGAATGATAAAAATCATTCTATGTTATCATTTCACTATTTTATAGAAAAAAAAAATATTTTATCTTAATGTTATCTCTTTTTATAATTATAAAATTAATTTATTTTTTTTAAAAATACTATATTTTAATAAATAGATTTTTGAATTGTTACACTCAATATATTATATAATATATTCGTGAATTGTGTATTTAAATACATATTAGCCAATACAAATATAGTATAACATATAAGCCCCTATAAGCATATGTGGTCGAATATAATTTTTTATATTATAATTTAATTTATGAATAAATATATAATATATATGATTTGTAAAAATAAAATAATATCTTTTTAAATTATTTATTAATGTATTTTTTTTGTTTTATTTTTATATAAGATGGTTTGAACATGTGCGTAGGAGAAAGACATAGAAACATTAGAGTCACAAAACGCAAATTAAAAGGGGAAGGGTAGACCTAAAAAAATTTGGAAGGAAATAATAAAATGATTTGAAATATTTAAATTTGAATGTGAATATGTGTTCTGATCGAGCACGATGGCGACATGCGATCCATATAGCCGACTCTACTCAATGAGATTTTAATGGCTTGTAGTTGTTGTGTTGTTTAATATATCTAATTAAAATATGAACAATAAATAAAAATAAGTTTTAAAATTTTTTATCTTAAATTTATTTTTTAGAATTAGTTTATTTGATTCCTACAAATATGATAATGAGAAAACCTTGCTGCATTAGTTATGGAATGACTAATCCTATGTAGATGGGTTTTGCAATTCCCAATGGATGATTATTCCTTTCCAAAAAATATATCAATCATGGAATAAGTAATGAATAATAGAATGATCATTCCATTACTATACTATTTCTTCGTACCAATCATGCCATTTCCTAAAAATAATAAGGAAGAGAAAAGAAAGAAAGAAAAAAAGGTGTAAAAGTCAATGCTAGCTAGGGGATTCAACATCTTATTGAGGTAGAGACCTTATATGTTTATTTGTTGCTATAATTGACTTTGAACAGCTTCTGAGCATCTTTAATAGGGAGGTTTTGGGTGAGGTTTGCCACCCAAAAAAGGTTTGCCACAAGTTTGAATTTGTAAACCTGTGGCAAACCTTGTTTAAAATTATTTTTTAAAACAAAAAAAGTGCTAAAGACAACAACTGGGGTTCACGAAACTTGGGAACATACCTTTTTTCATGCGCGTGAATGGAACAATACCATCTTGGCGTGAGAGTGATTGGGCCCACTAGTTGAAGGGCCATGGCAATTATTTTATTTTCTTCAATGTGGTTTTGTTTCGTTTTATTTATTTCTTTTCTGTTATTTATCAATCTGTACATTTATTTAATAAGTTAATGACTAGAAATTAAATTTATAAATTTTATATTATTAAAAACTGAAAAACACTTTATCTTCTAAAATGATTAATTTTTATTAACAAATTATAATAAATATAATATTTAGAAAAAAAATTCAAATTTTAATTTTTAACATTATGTAGTAATTTTTAAGTTAAATTTTATATTGGTACGTACTTAACACTCTATAATTATAAATAATGTAATATAATTATATTATTTTTATATGTATTTATGATAAATATATGAAACATTTAGATTGAATAGAAATAAAATAGAGTTATAATTTTAAAATATTAATAATAGTATAAGAATATAATATTAATTAAATGTAAGTGGGAAACATGTGGGACCGATAAAATGAGAGGTTTATGAGGTTTATTGTTAGAGCATCTTTAATGGGTAAGGTTTATAAATCTTACTTTTTGCATTCTCAATATTACACATCATCTAAACCTCATTCATACTCCCAATATCACAAACCTCCAATAACCATAAACCTCACAAACTTTCTTTTAATGGGCCTCACATGTTTCCCACTTACTTTAATTTATTTATCAATTTAATTCTTATTTAATAAAAAAACTACTCATAATTAACATATAAAACTACATTGTATACTTGGATTAAATATTATTATATTTCATAGTTTTTTATTAATTACTCTTTTTAATAATAATAAATGTGAGTAAAATTTGACAAGAAAAATAATTAATTCGACATATTTATTATATATCATAATAAATATGTTTTACGTACAATTAAATTCAAAAAAAGAACAAGAGAAATTTATTACACATAAAATGTGAAAAAACTAGATTATATAATAAAAATTAAACTAAATGTGGAAAAAATAACTAAATAAAATAATAAAAATTAAAACTAAATGAAAGAATAAAAAACATATACGGATTGCATCCATTTATTAAATATTTGAGGCCCACATTCTACAAACTTTCATATTATATTCATTTATCAAATGTTTGGGGCTCACATCTACACCACAACACCACCACAACACCAGCTTTGCATTTGCACTCCCGCTTTACAAACCCCACGCTCCCATTTCTCCTCTTTAATCGTAACACTACCCAACTCAGGTTTATACCTCATAGATTTTACCCGTTAAAGTTGCTCATTGGAGGTTTATATGTTTAGAGGTTTTGGATGATGTGGCATGTTGGAAGCGTAAAAAGAGATTCATAGAAAGTAGACATGGGTCGGCCCGTGGACTCGGACCGGTCCTTAACAGGCCACCTAAGGGCCGGTTCGTTTAACCGGACCGTGAGGGCCGCGGTTCGGTTCCGGATTGCTCTATTTTTTTTTTTCCGGCGGTCCGGGTCGGGCCGGGCCGGTTCACGGGCTAGAAGCCTGGCGGATGTGTATTTTTTTATATATATTCTGCAGGCTGGTTCGATGGACCGGCCCTCATCAATTTTCGGTTCGGTCCCGAGCCAGGGTGTTGAGGACCGTCGGCCCGGCGGGCCGGGCCCGGACCCGTTGAATGGCTATGTCTAATGGAAAGTGGTTGTTAAAGTTGCTCTAAGACTTGAAAGCAATTTTTTTAATAAATAGTATATGATTCTTGTGAGAACTCAATATGAGACATATGGTACTTTATTTAGAATGCTAGGAATCGATTGGTGTTTGAAAATGAATACCAAGGTACGAGTCTTGTAATTCGAAAGGTAAAAACACATGTTTATCGAACAATCTTCTCTACTTATCCGAATGTACTTGTTGAATTTGAGAGAAGAAGTCTTGTGCTTTAAGAGTAAATATGGCAAAATTCGGCCGAAATCGCTTAAAATAAGCCTAAGATTGAAATTTGGCCCCAGAACATCATCATTTCGCGCCTGCGAACTCAATTCCGCGACCTGGGCATTTTCGCGAGCTACCAGGACTCACAGCTCGCGCCCGCGAAACGCATCTTGAGCCTGCGAGTCGCTGTCTGCACGCGAAAATGGATCCGTGCCCGCGAGCTTCCTTCCACGGGGCAAGGTACTACTTCAGAGGCTAAAGAGTCTGAAATTCGAGCCTGCGAATTTCCTCCCTTGGCCGCGAGTTTCAGTTTGCTTGCGAACTTCCCCTGCACCTTGTGCGAGTGGCCTGCCCCTCACGTGCCGAGACCTATGCGAGTGGCTAGGACCCTGTCAGGCCAAGTGACTGCTTTTCGACCGTTCGGGTCCGTACGAGCTCGGATTTCAGCGTCGTTTTCTCCAACGGGTACCTAAGGAACTGTTTACGAGACCTATGACCGAAATTTTTCGTTTTGTTTACAGAACTCGTGAGTGACCAACCGAGTTGTGGTTGGCCTCGTTTATCTTAATATGGCGAATGATGGAACTGACTTACAGGTTGCCCATTACGCTTTTGTATGCCGGTTAACGGTTGTCTCAAACATTTTTGATATATATATTTACATTTAACGATAAAAAAAAAAATATGAGACATGTGGTGCCATCACAGATATAAATGTTATAATATTGCAATTTTTAAAAATAATTTTTGATTAAAAATAATAAAAAATAAAATAAAAAATGCCAATAAATACAATTAAAACCTAACTTTGACACACCAAGTTAACTTTATATATATTATAGCATGCTCCACGTTGATAATAATTACAGTTCGAACCCGGCCTGGGATAAAATTTTCTGTGCGTTGCGTGGCATCATTAACAGAATCCCAAGAAACATATGAATTTACAAACAAAATAATACTTAAATAACTAAGCCCATGGGATCTGATTATGATTCAATACAGAATAATTATGTCCCTACTCTTCAATTATTTTATTTTATAGCATACGGAGCTTGCACGTTCTTACGTTGTTCCGATTTACGAAGTTCCAATTTTATAATTAGCTTTAGTCAAGATGGTGGAGATTTTATCATAAAATAATCAAACTCACATAGGAAATATGTAGAACTATTTATATATGTGTGTATAAATCTTCCACCACTACTTAGTATGATAAATTATCAGTTAATCAGATTCCTTAATATTAAAGTTCTACGAATCCTATGTCCAATAAAATAAAACGAAATAAATTAAGAACTATTTTCATGAACAATACCACAAAAGGTTAAAATAAGTCCGGCAGTTCATCAACTTTAAATTATTAAATATTTCGAACTTTTCTTTTTCTCGAACATTTTTTAACCTCTCTCTTTGCTTGAACTAATTTGAGACGATGACTTCAGTATAATTATTGCATTAGGGGAAAGTATTTATGCACAATAATATTGAAATTATTATATGAACTCAAAAGTGATAGGCCAACGGACTAATTCATTCGAAAAGCATCTCAATGGTACAATGTTGATATCATGACATATGGCACTGAAAGAACATTAAGATATTATATTATATCCCAATGGTTAATATTAATAGTGAATTATATGGCACATGCAAAAACATAAATGCTTGTACATAAAAGAATAATAAAATTAATACTTAATAGTTTATATAGAAGATGTCTGCAAATCTTTCTACTTGTACAAAAGATTTCTAGACATTTTAAATGCTACACCTAACTGTTTGAGTAGAAGACTTCTAAAAAAGACATTTTAAATGCTTTCACCCAATTTTGTAAGTCACGTAACAATAGAATAGAGTAGAGCAATCCATGAATCATACTCATGTTATTAGGATGGGCCTCTAACCATTCTTTTGTAAACAAGATAAAAAGGGACAGTTCAGACATCAAACACATATCAATATAAACATTTTCTTAAAGTAAATATAAAAAAACAAACAATATCACAGAAAGGGGCAAAGGTAAAAATAAAGAATCTTCCACCCTCCATTAATGTTCTTTATGTCAACAAAAGCAACTATTCATCAAGGAAACTGCACTTCTTAGCCAAAAATTAAACAACCACCTGCAGATTTTTACTTCTGCTCAGCAGGCTTCATCTGATTAGCTCCCTGAACAACAGGACGAATATACGAAAAACCAGCTGGCAAGCGGGTCCCACCAATACGAGCAGTGTGGATGGAGCTGCCACCTGTCGCATCACTAGTAGCTCCAAAAATTGCCTTAGATGGGTCGTTTCTGGTCTGCTGCATGTAAATCCCATTCGGGCCTGACAGGCCCGAACTCGTGACAGCAGAGTGATGAGGAAATTGGACTTGTGAATACGGGTTTGTGAAAAACAGTTGTGCCTGCATTGGAGTCACGCCATTAGATGAGAAGTTTTTTGGTAGTTGTGGCGAAAAGATTGGGTTTTGGCCAGTTTTGGTAGAAACCGAAGAATTAGTGGGGGACTGAGCTCGTGCAGTTGTCGGCAGTTTTTGATTTGCGCTGAAAGATATTTGATTTTGTGTTTGTGGTTGAGCTTGAGAAAATGGTGTTTTTGATGAGTAACTCCAATAGGGAGATTGGACAAGGCAGCCACTATTGGGCTGGGTGAGATTTTGCGGAAAGTTTGAACTCATTAAAGGAATAATTGGCTGTTGAGCTTTTTCGGCCAAATTTTCCCGTTCAGCTTTATCATCACGAATTCCTAATTTATTGCCCTCGGCAATTACGAAATTATTACTCTGGATGTGCTGCTGTCTGGTAGCTTCTGGAAAGCTCTGGAAGATTGCCTGGTTTTGGACTAGCAACTGAGGGTGGACGGGCCTTGCGAAATTCGGGCCGAGAATATTTGTGTGAGCCCGAGAGCCCGAGGTCGGTAAATGGTAGGCATTGTTGTTTTGTAGCAATTGTAGGTATTGTGAGGTGTCCATGGATGAGGTGGGTCCCACTGGGTTTGACAAAGAGATGGGCCGGGCCGCTTTATGCTGGTTCAAGGAAATGGGCCCCTGTTGGACATAAATCAATCAAATAAGCCCTCAAATTTTACCAGGGAT